CAAAACACTTGTCTAATAGGCAACTGGGATAGCCAGTGTGAAGTAGTGGATGGACTAGGAGTCAGGAGGCCTAGGTTCAAATCTCCACTCAGCAGTGGAAACTCAATGGTGGCGTGGAACTGGTAAAGGCATTTCTAAAGCATCTCATCTATCTTGAACACTAGAATCACTAGTGATCTATTAGAATCACTAGAAGTCAGTTCTGACTTGAAGGCACATTATAACTGGGCAATCATTTTTCGCTCTCTTTTCCATTAAATAAGAATTAGGTAGAGACATACTAAGAAGTAAAGAACCATCATTTGCCAAGGAACACACGTGTGGGGAATGGTGACTGTTGGCCCAGAAGAACATGATTAAAATTTTCCCCTATTGTCCAATAGCCTCCTGTAAATATTTTCCATCATCCATACACTTTTATTTCTTCCTCAACAGACCATGGGGCTTATATGCTACAGATAGCCTGTAACTACAAGAGAGAATTCTTTGTGTTCCAAAAACATCTGGTTGTTACAGCAGGAGCTATTCACAAGTCCCACAGATTGCAAATGATCTTGCTTTGTTAGTACTGATACGCTTCTGAACACAAACATAGCTTAGTACCTGGGCTACACAGCAGAGGCTGGGGGTTCAATTCCCCATTGTACCTCCTAATAGAAGTACCAGCCTGTGTAGCCTTGGACAACCTACATAGCCCCAGGGTGCCACAACAAGAAGGGAATGATTAACCACTTCTGTGTACACCCTACTCAGAAAACCTCAAAAAGGGTCACCATACGTGAGAATCAGCTTGACAACATGGAATTATTACAATGAGTTCTTTTACCCTTACAGGCATTACAGGACAAGAGAAAGTAGTAAAATAGAGAACTCTGAACCACCACCCAGAAACAGCTGTATCACTATAAAGGAAAGAACAATTATATAATGGGAAACCATTTGCTTTGGATGTGAAATATCGAAATCCCTACAGTCACAAAAAAACCTAGCCAAATAGATTTGGGCAAGTCATTTTTTTAGCCTAAATTCCTAGAACTGCTGTAAAAATAAAAGATTTAAGTGCTTTGAACAGATAAAAAAGGCAAAGGAGACAGAATGAACTGCACTGTGGCCTACAGGTTACAGCACTTAAAGAAGTGCATTAAGGGCTTCAAGACAGCAAAGAAAATCTATGATCTACTTGGTTATAGAAATATCTTCTTCTAAAGATTCAAAGAAGTTGCTTCAGCATAAGATACTAATGCCCAAAGGAAGTTGTAATAAACCCTGCTTGTTTGACCGCCTGGAATTCCATACAGTGTGTGGCACGGAAGCAATCTTCTTTCAGAATCTAAGCTTCTACCTTTTCCTAGCCCTCATTTGAAAATGAACAGGCAGGGACTACAAACGCTCCGACAAAAGCTTCAAGATGCAGAGTGACTTAACCTACTTTATACAAATCAAATATCAGGTATGTATACATTTGTGTCAAAACAAAAAACCAAGAGGCAAACTAATTAAACAATAGGAAGAATCCTGCGGCATCTTACAGACTAAGAAACTTTATTTGGCATAAGGTTCTACGGACAAAAGCTGATTTCATCAGATGCATGGAATGTGATGCAGTGGGCTGTTGTCCACTAACCTAATGCCAAATGAAGCATTCTCATCTTTAAGGTGCAAAAAGATTCTATGTTGTTTTGGCTGCAACTGATTAACGTGTCTACCTATCTCAAAATGATAATATAAGCAGTTAGATAGGCATATCAGGCTAATTAATAATTCAAACTGTTCTTCTACATTTTTTTTTCATGAACACAACACACATCAAGAAATTTGTTACACTTATACAGTATATACTTATATAATAAATCACGCACATGTAAATGTACATGCTCAACTGCTGACTTTGAGAGATAGGAAAAGTCACTTTCTAATCTAGACTACAATTCCCAGAATAATTCCAATTAACGTGAAGGTGTAGTCCACAAAAGGCTTCTCAGTTCTACGTGCCACCTTGATTTGCAAATAACTCTAAATTTGCCTCCGTATTTCTCTCCCTAAAGCACAATAAAAGTCAGCCTCTGCAATCACATTGCAACAATGCAGTCTTGACATCTTCCATGCTATATAATTATCATCATCACCTGTTGTTGTCCATTCTGACCTATGACAACCCTTTTCAGGGTATTCCAGGTAATGAGTACTCAGAAGTGGTTTACCATTCCCTTCGTCTGGCAGCACCCTGGAACTCTGCAGTTCTCCCAAGGCCACACAGGCTGGCTCTACTCACAGGAGGCACAGTTGGGAACTGAACTCCCAATTTCTGGCTCCACAGCCAGATAGCAAAACCACTGTTATTCAGACAGCTTTCATGCTATTTAGCAGCAGGTGATACTTTTTACAAACAGTACTATCCAGGAAGTATTTGGAGTTGTAGTTTTTTTTTTACTCTGACAAACTCTTCCACTACAACTCTCATTTAATGAATATTATATACATAACAATAAGGGACGTGGTGGCGCTGTGGGCTAAACCGCAGAAGCCTGTGCTGCAGGGTCAGAAGACCAAGCAGTCGTAAGATCGAATCCACGCGACGGAGTGAGTGCCCGTCGCTTGTCCCAGCTCCCGCCAACCTAGCGGTTCAAAAGCATGCAAATACAAGTAGATAAATAGGGACCACCTTGGTGGGAAGGTAACAGCGTTCCGTGTCTAAGTCGCACTGGCCATGTGACCACGGAAGATTGTCTTCGGACAAAACGCTGGCTCTATGGCTTGGAAATAGGGATGAGCACCGCCCCCTAGAGGCGAACACGACTGGACAAGAAATTGTCAAGGGGAACCTTTACCTTTTTATATACATAACAATATATTAGAACAGTACATTAAACAGTCAAGGGTCCACTAAATTACTATTTTCTGATACAGTATCTGTTTTTCCTTTTCCTCTTCAAAAGGCTTCCAGTTATCTGCTGTGGACTGAAGAGAAGCCCATCCAGCAGCTGAGCTACAGACACGTTCCTTGCACCTCCATCACAAACCTGGGCAATGGTTCTCAACTCCCACACAATACATTTACCTAGCAGAGTTAGGTACTCCTCACAGTACAGTGATGCCTCACTTAACAACATTAATTAGTTCCAGCGAAATCACTGTAGAGCAAAAAGGTTGTAAAGCGAAATAAAAAAGCCCATTGAAATGCATCGAAAACCGTTCAATGTGTTCCAATGGGCTGAAAACTCACCGTCCAGCGAACATCCTCCACAGGGGCGGCCATTTTCGGTGCCTATAGAGTGAGGAATCCATCCAAAAACACAGCAGAGAGCCATTTTGAGCAGCCGGAGGCCATTTTGAAAACCCAACGATCAGCTATTTTGATCGTCGTAATGCGAAGAATCGGTTCCCGAAGCAGGGAACCGATCTTTGCAAAGCGAAAAAACCCCATTTAAAACATCGTTTTGCGATCGCAAAAACATTGTCGTGAAGCGGATTCGTCGTTAAACGGGGTGATTGTTAAGTGGGTCACAACTGTATCCTAGAACAATGATACCTACATTATTTTTCACATTACTATCCTAATCTTTCCTCCCCTTGCTTTTTTACTGTCATATCTATATCTGTTTCTTCTGTGGTGCATCTATGCCACAAATGTTCCAGAAAACAATCTTATTTGATTAGTTTGTCTAGAATACTATACATCTGATTTTGCATGAATATTGCATAGAAAAATAAATGCAAGTTTGGCAGCTGGAAAAAGGAGGAAAAGAAAAAACAAAGTAGAAACAGTATTGTCTCTCTGAATACAGCATTTCATACATGTTTATGAGAGAATAAGCATGCCCTAAGGACACAGGACTAGAATTTTTAATCAAATGCACATTCTTGCATCTACTAGCTTCTGAAGCCACAATGTCCACTCCTGCAAAGCAGTGTGTGACCTTGAGGAATGAAAAAGGCAAGAGAAAAAAACTACAATTTTTCATTTCCAAAGAAACCATCATGGACCTGTCTTTTTTTATTTTTTCTGCCTTCTGCTAAAACCCAATAACACCAAGCCTCATAATGCAGTACAGTGGACCCTCGACTTACAGACGGCTCGACTTACAGACTTTTCGAGTTACAGACTTCTCTGGCTGCAAAATTTAGATTCGACTTGCAGCCAGAAAATCGACCTACAGACCAGAAAAAAACCAAAATAGAATAAAAACTGCCAGTTGTGGGATTAATCAGTTTTCAATGCATTGTAGGTCAATGGAGATTCGACCTACAGGCTTTTCGACTTACAGCCATCGTTCCAATACGGATTAATTCTTTAAGTAGAGGGTCCACTGTAGTTAAACTGTAGTACTTGCAATGAAGGCTCTCCTCACAAACTGAGCTTGATTCTAGGTTCAGGTAGTAAGCTTGAGTTTGACTCAACCTTCCATCTTTCTAATGTCAGTAAATTGAGAACCCAGCACGTGGGGGGGGGGACGACAGACGCAATGTGTAGACTGCATAATTTAATTGTAAACTGCCAGATACAGCTTTAAGCACTATGGGGCACTATATAAGTAGTAGATCTTGTTTTGCTTTGCTTTGCTGTATAGATACAGGGACTTGGAGCTTTATACCTTTGTTCCAGAAAAAAAAGAAAAGAACAGAACATAAGGATCATCATGGTGCCAAAGTACCAATAGTGGACAGACAGATGTTCCTAGCCAAAAATGAACAAGCAACTATCAGCCTTGGTTTATTGCCACCTATATCTGATAATTATACGTGTTATGGTTCTGAACAATGGATTTACATTCTTAGCCATTATGAACACTTAATTTCAATCCATTTTTACATGCTTGTAGTAATGGCCAAGACCTTCAATGGTGAGTTTAAAGAATAATAGACATAAAGCAGCTGTAAAGGGACAAACAACAGTTTGTGGCCTGAAACCATACTATATTCCTTGGTTAATAGTCACCAATATTCGCAATCCATGTAATACATAAATGGTAGTGTTCCAGTATAATAAGCACAGAAATTACCATAGAAGAGACTGATCTAGCATCTTCTTCATAATGTACTACAGGTGGGGGCTCTTTCCCATCATTTTCTTGTACTTTTTGTTGTAGAAGTTCTTTCTGTGCCGCAAACTTGACTTCAGTGCATTTCAACTGCTGAACAGTTTGCTTTAGCTCTTCCAGTGCTTGCTTTTGGCTGAGCAGAAGCACAACACTAAAAAAGGATGGAAAGATGAACAACATTTTAAAAAACTATTTCAAAACATTAAAGCAACATCCAGGAATGCACATTTATATATTTACATATTTATCGCTTCTCAAATCATCTCCTCCGTAATATGCAGCAGATACATTAGAGAGGAACCACCTGCTGCACATTCACTACCCCTTAGCATGTGTACAGAGCGAACAGCGGTTGTGAAAAGTCCAATTTTACCTTTGGTACCCAATTCTCTTGGAACGGCCCAACAAGCAACAGTGTGCAAAATCTATTATCAACTTCCTCTTGGGGTCAAAAATGTTCAAACTGCAAACACACTAAGCTCTCCAGTGCCTATGACTTTATGATAATTGATATAACATTGAAGAGCCCCTCTAAGTCACGGTTGACAGTAATATTGGCAGACCTAGGGCCACAATCATGCCTCCAGCACCCATGAGGGGCGATGCCAAACTTTAAAATGTAAAACAAAAGTGTTGTTTCATGTTAAAGAATTGCCTGGACACCCATTTACTGGTTTTTTGTTTTGTTTTGTTTTGATTCGGGATGATTTTGATTTCTGAGGAAGAAGAAATCTAGTGTTTGGGAAAGTGACTCCTAAAATCCTCCAGGAGAAGAAAAACATTTTTGTCCAGTTGCTCTCACAAAAACAACTTTAAAAAAGGATTTTCAAAATCAGGAGACATCCATGGGCTCTGTGGGGACCCTGCCCGTCCCACGTACACTATGCAAAATATTATGCAAAATATCTGGCCCTTACTCCTGCCAAAATGACCAAATTGCTAACTGAGGAATTTGCTGGTCTATGTCTTCCTCTCAGTTCCACAATTTAGCCCATTATTTCCTTACAGTAGTCAGCAACACATCAACAATTCTAACATGTTTTGATTCTTTCTAAACAACATGTTGCATCTTTAAAAAGAAAAATATCAAAGCTGAATACATCACTTGCTTTCAAAGAAGTTTACTTAAATAATTTCAGGCACAATTAAAATGTCACAACGTTTTTCTACTCACTCAGATTTCCTTTCATAGATCTTGGAAGACTCTTCTATCTTCTTTTCCAGTTCTAATACCAGCTCCTCCTTATTTAGAAGTGTCTGCTGCGTTTGAATCAGTTCTTCTACTACTGTTTTCAACCTAACGTTTCAATGTGGGGAAAAAAAAGATTATATGCAAGACTATAAATGGAATGTGTGCACACTTCAGTGGGATTTTTTTGCTCTCTGAATAGGCAACAAAATTGATTAACAGGATAAAGTCAGATAAAGCCATTTCAGATTACCAGCATTTTATCCACATAGTTCACTATTTTAAATGTACAAACATTTCTGATAAAAACTATTTTTATGAAAGAGACAAGTTCCTGTCCCCCTGACCCATCCTCATTTTGAGACCAGACTGTCTGAAATAATAGTTCAAAATCACCTCAATATAATAAAATCCTGTTAAAACTAAAGACTTGATTACCACATGTGAAAGCACTTTTATTTCCAAACAACGACTTAATGAGTGTGATCTAATTGTGTTTATTCAAACATAGAAGAATTACTCTGCAGTAGTTGTGCTGATGATATTTTTCTAAAGAATTTGCTACTTAGAAACTACTGGTCTGATAGCATAAAAAGCAAACAGGTTCTCACAATCCAGTGTTCACAAAATATACTGCATATCTGAAATGTTTATAGTAACCAGAAAAGACTATGAATTCTGAACTGCAGTCCAGGAAAATAAAGCATGCATTGGAAGAAATACCATTCACAACTTTCCATAAAGATTAGAAGAGTCTCAAGATTCACCGCGGCAACTGACAGCTCTGAAGCAATATTTATCACACCCAAACTATCTAGTTTAATTTAAGTGTGCACTCACCATCAATTACCTTAAGAACCCCAAATAATCTGCCAGTATAGAACATCAAGTAAAACAAAATAAATTATTTTAGTGGGACAATGTAGTTATTCTTTTCTAACTGCCTTTCTTTCTATACAATTCATCATGAAAATCTACCAGCAATAACGGAGGTCCTCACACAAAAGAACTACAGAAAACAATACACCTTTTTTCTTTTGGGGTTTAATTATTGCCTTACTTACAGCGTTAGCCTGAAGTAAGCAGGAGTGCCCAGTGTCTTTTTCTTTTCTTAATGTAACAGAAGAGGGCAGAACCCCTGAGGCTGGTTGTGGAGGGGAGCAATTATTAATTGTTAATGAACAGCAGTACAACATACAGGTATATAGGAGAACTAAGGGCTGAATTCAGAGCTGTGCATGGGTAGCAAGTCCACTTACATACAGGAGGTGAGGGGGGGTTTCTACTCAGGACTCACACAGAACAGTGGAATCGTAGAATAACGGAGTTGAAAGGGATTAATAAGGCCACCAAATACAACCCTCTGCTCAATGCAGGAACTCAAGTCCAAGCAGATCCTACAGATGGTTGTCCAATATTCTCTTGAATGCCTCCAGGACTGGCGCACTCGCCACCTCCCGAGGTAATTGGTTCCATTGCCATACTGTTCTAACAGTTAAGAAATTTTTCCTGATATTCAGCCTAAATCTGGCTTCTTGTAGCTTAAACCCATTGTTACGTGTTCTGCACTCTGGGATGATTGATAACATATCCTGCCTCTCCTCTGTATGAGATCCTTGGCCCTCTACTATGCTTTTTTAGTGGATGTGATCACCTAAATCCTTATAGTAAGAGAATGAACAGTCCCTTTCCTGAATGAAAGTGGGTCCTCTTCATGCAGAGGGACGATGCAAGGCATCGGTCTAGTGGTACCATAAATTACAGACTGCCCAAAATTACAAATACATCTTCTTATTCTCTAAAATTAAAAGTTACAAAGCCTTATTTTGGGGAGGGCAGTGCAATTTAACTGAAACATTCAGTCATTAAATAAATATTCTACAACCCAACTGTGAGAAGTAATCTTCAGTAAATGATAGCTAATGAATGAGAGATTGTGGTGTTTGGCTAGCAATGATGGATATCAAAAGAGTAATTTCTTTACAATAAGCTTGCTCTGTTATAAAAATGATATTTTAAAAAGTCAGAAAGGATCATTCTTAAACAGTGGACTCTCACTTGTTTTGCAAGATATTTACTTCCCTCCTTGTAAAAAAAAATAATTTTTGTCTTTCACTTGTGTCTTAGCACAATCTCTGCCATGACTGCTTAGAACAGTGGTTCTTAACCTTTGTTACTCAGATGCTTTTGAACTACAACTCCCAGAAACC